TCCCCCCCCCCCGTCGATACTATATTTAGTTGCTCATTTGTTAAAATATATAATACCATCCCCTCGATTTACACGAACCTTGATTAGGGGGCATGTCGAAAGCAGATGGACAAAAAATCTGCGTGCTTCAGAACCACATAACGTCCTGGTCCGCACTTGGAAATAACTGGCCAGAGAGGGCGCCCGACGCCGGCGAACAAACTATGTATATTCTTCTTAAAAACGCTTGCTCATGTTAATGTGTGTAATTAACTCTATCAACAAGATAATATACATATATCATATATACTATATTACCCTATTATAACGTATTACATAGCTAGTCAGATCTCAGTGCTACTGTTTTTCTTAAACAGCTAAAGGGAGTCGATGTCCAATGCGATACAGCGTGCATTTATTAACAATCACTTTTGTATACGGTTGATGAACGATTAGCCACTTTGGTCTTGACAGGTTTTAGTGTCAGCCCACAGGGATGTGTTGGTTCATGAGCGTAGTAACCAAGTACAAAATTGTTAGACTGGATTCAGCTTGGGTTCCAGTTGTCATTGTTCAAAACACCTACTTCTTTCCATATCTAATATAATATGCTGAAGCTGTTAATTGATTATTGCTATGGATGTTGGAATGATTTGAATGATTGCTATTATTCCAGCTAGGTTATTTAATACCAATTCTTGAAGCCCCCCTCCCCACACACACATCGTATGATAACACATGTCTGAAAGTTTACGTATAGTGCATTTGCATCGTCGTACATGGTTGGAATCGCTTGATGATGTATAATAAAAATATGGCGGTAATTAAGCTTTGACTGTTCAGCAGTTTGTGTAAGGATAACAGGATCTGCATTCCCTGTCCTGATAAATGAAAGAAAGAAGATGATATGTTGTCTAGGTATACCACATGTTACAGATAACCCTCCGCTACCTGACGTGGCAGGCTGTAAGTCTGACCTGGGAAGCAATATGTGAATCTACTAAGCAAAGATGCTCATTAAACACCTCTTTCCTCTTCCTAAGAATCTTTAATTTTCTGGAATCGTTCACTGTCCTTATTTTCACTAGTAAAGGATAACATCTGATGAAATTTAGACATGTCTGGCATTGGCTGTACTGCAATAAGCTGCTATGTAAGAGTGGATTTCTAGTATCATAGAATATGATTGGCTTCTCTCTTCATATATAGGTAGACTACCAGAGCAGATACCCGCTGTTCGACAGCCATGAGTCTTATTTGTATTTAACTAACAGCAATATTAACGGAAGAAATTCTCTTAATAAGGGGAATGTATGCGTTTTATGGCTTTACAAGACTCGTGTATATAATGCTGCACATTATGCCTTAGAAGATATCATTCCCGCTTGTGCCACGATAACCCTGTTGGTTGGGTGGCAATATAGATCTTATATATATATATATATCTGTCATTATATTTATTTGCTCATTTGTTCATATATATATATATACACTTCACCCTCGATTTAACGAACCTTGATTTAGGGGGCATCGAAAGCAATGGACAAAAAATCTGCTGCTTCAGAAGACATATCTGTCCGCACTGGAAATAACTGGGGAACAACTCATGTAATTTTAAAAACCTTGCTCGTTAATGTGTGTAACTTATAACAAGATAATATATATACATATATATATATATAACTATACATAGCTAGTCGTATTTGCATGCATCTAAATACAATCTTTTTCTAGGAAAGAATAGAATACTCAAAGACCTTAAAAGGACGTTACTTCAACTTGCTAGGCTACTTCTTCTCTGTATATTGCTCATATAAAATATTTATGGTAAGTAGATTCAATTATTAATAGTGGAAATTATTATTATTGTGTTTGTGATATAAACAGACATTGTGAAACAAAAATCACCTGCGCTGGTTTGTTTTGTTTATGTTCACCACTGCCAGTTTTATTCTGCGTGGAAAAATAAAATGAATCATAAGAGGATACTCTTACTACTTCTAACAGGCCTACTCCCCAGTTTGTATGAACACGGGTTTGGAAAATCATAATCTTGTTGTGATATCGGACAAAAAATGCAAGTGGATTTAATTGGTTTAGACTTACAGTGACGCTTATTTTGGTTTCAATCTCTTTGGTTAGTTTCTAGTTCTCTTAATGTGGATGTATATTATATATATAATTGCATCACACTTGTGTTTTCCAGGCGACTATTAATATAATATTCGATAGAGTTGGAAAAAAAGATCCAATTACAAGAGGCTTTGAGATAGCTGTAGACTACCTAGGTATACAGTTTGATGTAAGTATATTAAAACTGTCTAGGTAATTGCATGAGCATGTACCTATTGAAACTTCAGAGGTATTAGGGTAAATGTTTACCATGTGCAATTAAGGTACATGTTGGCATAAAAGTGAATTATAGCATGGTATTTTACAATTTGCATCATTACATTTACAATTGTTATGGAAGGTGTTAGTGACAAAATACACTGTTTTTGGTTAAAACCCCTCTTAAAAATATTTCTTTAAAAAATATTTTAAAACAAAACAATATTTAGAAAACAACATTTTTCTCACTAGATGGTAGGATAATCCTATACTAAAATGATGTGAGGCATACAAATTGTATTTTGTTGTAATTTTCAGGTAAAGTTTTGGTCACAGCATATATCCTTCATACTGGTTGGCATCATCGTGGTGACGTCAATCCGTGGCTTGCTCATCACATTGACAAAGGTACACATTGACATTGCTGTGTTGTCCTCTAAATTTAATGACCATCAGAGAGATAAATATTCGGTTAATAGACAACGAACTTGCATGACATTAATGATGGTGTGTCATCCTTTGTAGTTCGGTATTTATGTGCATGTGCAAGTGCTGTACAATTGGCCAAACAGCTGAACTAGCCACCGGTGTGACAAAAGCTAATTTAATGTAAAACCCGAGAACAGAAATGTATCACAGAAATGTACCATGTGCGTTCCCTGTAATAGCCTACCTACAGTCTAATACGGTAAACGTATGTATACTGAATATATGTAAACTTAGTACTCCTAGTCATGCTATATGATAGGCAGCTCGCCACTTTTGAACTATGAATGTGGTTAGACCATGTAGCTGCCTGCCTACATATTTAATTTGACTGGCTTTTACTAGGTGAGAAACATGTGTAATTGAATTTAGTGATTAGGTGGCGCTAGGACTATCTGTAATTCTAATAACTGCTATCCTAATATGCCCTTTGATACTAATCTGTCCAAGACTCTCACTACTATAAAGCTGTTTGTATACCAAATCATGGCTAAGAATCATGAAAATAAATGTTGATTCTTCTGTTATTGCCTGCGCAGAACATGTTTGATTATTGTTTTGAATATTATTTTGATCTTGGTTAATGTTTCACTGTGGATTCTTCTCTTGCAGTTTTTCTATGCAATATCCAGCAGTAAGTCATCCAATGTAATTGTACTGGCACTTGCTCAGATTATGGTGAGTACCTCTTAAGCAATCCAAGTATTTGTAGTGTATTTTCTGATGTGCAGAAATTGCAGACGTTCATATATGCAATGTCCTTCATGGAGTAGTTAATCACATAGCTAAAATAGAGCTTGGGGGGATATTGTCAGAAAGATGTTCTTTGTAATATTACTCTTCATAGTTTCTTGTTCTAAATGTTATAATAGTTTTAACCATTATCTTGGAACTGTTCTGTTTCTATGTTTCTAAGAGTGGCCTCTGGTCTTTGTTGTAAGAGCCTCACAGGCAGGTTATATGGGTATCACTATGTCAATCAGGTTGACTAGTCTGACTGTAAGAAGAGGAAACAAGCCCTGCACTAAACACGTCAGTTACTCAATCAGTCATGCACGATAAATTTCTGGAATTACATTATTGTAACAGGTAGAAGTGCTAGATTATGGCTGATACGTATATTTCATGTAAGCAGTGTTCAATTTTTGTAATGTTAGTATAAATGTTAGCATTGTAATAACCCTTCTCCGCTTTTGACCCCCAACCAACAGGGTTCTCTGACTGTGGCAGTGCACACTGTAAAGCAGGTCTGGAATCGATATTCTTCTAGAGGGCATAATGTGCAGGCATTTATCAATCATGATGAACGAGTTCTTGTTATAAAGCCATAAAACCAATAGCAATACATTCCGCCTTATTAAGAGGAATATTTGCGTCATCCGCGTTAAATATACATTCTCGTTAGTTACCTCATTTCCTACTCTACCTAAAAGACATTAGCTTACTCACACATTTTTTGCGCTTTGTCGAATAACCAGGGGTACACCTGTCGTTCTGCGCTATGATCTTTTCCATATACGTACTATATGGAGGAGAGAAGACCAATCATATTTCTCTATGATTAGCTAGCAATCACTCTTACATATATCGTCTAGTAAAGGATAACATTTGATGAAATTTAGAGGCATGTCTTGGTCATTGGCTGTACTGGGCAGATAAGCTGCCTATGCTAAGAGTCGGATTTCTAGTATCCATAGAATATGATTGGCTTTCTCTCCTCCATATATACGTAGAGCTGACAAGCAGATACCCGCTGTTCGACCAGCCCTGAGTCTTATTTGTATTTAAAAACGTAACAGAATACTTAACGGGAAGAAATTCCCTTAATAAGGGGAATAGTAATGGCGTTTTTATTATGGCTTTACACAGACTCGTGTATATAATGCTGGCACATAATGCTTTAGAAGATACTCATTCCGCTTGGTGCCCCGATAAAACCCTGTTGGTTGGGTGGCAATATAGATGCGTTTATGATATATATATATAATATATATATATGTTGATATTATATTATACATATAA